CTTAGGTGATATCAGTCTGTAAGATCATTACCCAAAGAATAAACCAGCTTCTAAAAACCTACATGATTATAGTCAAATAATAAATAGCTGTTTAATGATTAGTATCGAGTTATTACTTAATTCAATTATCGAATCACTTCTATTTATAAATGTTCAATATACGACTTTCTCTAGTTGTTGCGCATTTTATTTATTGAAGAATACCAGACAAGTTTTAAGATGTTAATTCAAAAAAAAATTACATTGTGAGAATTAAGACTTGGCATTTTGAAAATGTTTCATTTATTCTTTATTCACATTAACAATGAAATCATATGAAATTGGCATTCTTATCTCGAATGTCTTACTTGGTCATACTGATTATCGTTGAAAATCGGGACTATTATTATTACTTATTATTATTATTATTGGCTTTATTCAATATTATATTCTCGGTACAATATAGAATTCTCAGCACAAAGTATCTCAGCAAGGTTCTAACTTATTGGTCGATTCTGACGATTTATTTTGAATGGTCATCAGTCAGAAGTTAGCGTTTTGGGATTCGACATCCGAATAATGTATATTCTTTTCGATGTATATTGCTAGCAACCACGATGTCTATGACTGTGCTTTTTTGTAACTTATCTAGTGAAAGGTCGTAAATTTTTCATACAGGTATCTGAATAGTTCACCTGATTAACAAACATAATGGTGTGTTAAAACAAATAAAAACAACTTGTTGAAATATCTAGATGAAGGGAAAAGGTAGCCCAGATGCTCAAACATACCGCCAATTAACTATTGAACTTACTGTAGAATTTAGAATTTCTCTAATGTTTTGGCTCGAAAAAAGAGATAACAGATTTTTAATGGTTTTAATGGCTATTAGCTTTAATAGAGAAAAAATAAAATATGATTCTCATGAGAGTCCTTTTAAGTCCTACTTTGATTAGATATAACAATCATGTAACTTCTTTATATTATCAAATAGCATTTTAAAATAACATGAAGTAAATACATTAAAAACTGGAGGTCTTTTAGTATGCTATTCGGTAACTCTCTCCAAGGACGGTTTTGAGCTGTATATGTACGTTTTGAATTGTGTTTGTTGTTATCGCTCGTTTCTGGCTGTTTGCAGAATATACTTCCGCATTCCAAGCTTGGACTTCTCCCTCTAGTTAGCGGGGCTGGGACGCACCAATAGCTAACTTACTGGTCTTCGGTCACTGAGTCTTTGTTCTCGTTCGCAGTTTAAGTGAACTCACGAAAGCTTCAATCGTAGCAAATCTACCGTAGATTATCACTACATGTACAACTTGCTGAAGAGTTCCAAGCATGAAACTCAAATCCTTTTGATAGTCTTCAAATAACAATTTAAATTGTAATAAGTTTTAGTCTGTGTTTTTATAATATTAAGATTGATCGGTTTCCGTTGATTTAACAAATCTGATTTGTGTTAACAGTAGAGACTCTATCTATAATCATAGCTTTAAGAAGTGAACAATGAATTCGCTTATTTGAACTCTACCTGACTTACATGTATACATTAGTTGTTGTTTTTTTGCATGATAGTGAAAGGTTTTGTGATCTCTATATTTATATGTTCAGTGTTAGCATTAGTCAGTCAATTTCATGCTTGATTTATCTCCTTCTAAACATAACTATTATTCACTTAACTTTCAGGAAAATCATTCTTAAGTTATCAATGTTTATTCATTGTAGATCATTAGATCAATTTTAAATTGATTTGTTGAGATATATTAAACTATACTGACAAAACCGTCTTCAAATTCAAATACTTAACTAACTTCAATGGTAATTTACTTTTAAACAATTTCGACCTCGTTTCCAAGGAATGATATTTTTTTAACTCCTAGAAACAAATATACATTGTATACTATTTGAAAGATATATATTTTTGAAAAAAAAGTCAAGTTGTACATTTGACCTACGTCAGTAAAAGGGATTTGTTCATTGTTGATATATGTATATATCAAGTAAATATTATTGATCGTAGTGAACTTTATGTCAGTGTTTAATTTGTCACTGATTGAAAGTGATTACACAATGATATTTTAAACTTTATATTCTTCAAGTTAGTAAATTAACCAAGGAAAGTATTAGAGACAGAAATACAATTAAACTGTCAGCAGAAAGGTGTGAAAAAATCGTTAGAGACAGTGTAATTTCTGTCATTACGTATACTCATATAAAATACAAACAAATAAGTCGTTTATTTATTCATTATATTTATTTGAACGCACAAATATTGGTACAAAGGGGCACTGAATACATAAGTCACTCAATTCACTTGATTTGTGTGTAAGCTGTGATACTGGCCGGGTGATCAAACCGAAGCATATGGTTTTCGTAGTGGGTCATACCCGGAGCCTTCGACCTAAAGTTCTAATTCATAAACCAGTAGAGCAACGTCAGGAGATTCAGTCCCGTTCACCAATGGTTGGCTCATACACCATTTGTTTCCTAAGGATCCTGGAGTCCATGTACACCACTGGTTTGGAATCAAAGATTTCCATCTCCACCAACCCGGTTAAAGCGCCGCACAATAACTATTCGTCCTCTCAACTCTTATATAATATAATGCTGTAGTAACGATTACACTATTCCATGAATTTCAAATAATTGCATCAAAACATTATTCAGTATATTGTAAAGAATGTTTTATGCTTTTAACATCCTTACATAAATAAATTTGTTAGGCAGGTAACTATCTATGTAACTGGTTATGATATCGAATGTTACAATAAATATCTATTCAACGATAATAAATAATTATGAACGTTAGCTAACACCTATAACGTTGGATAAAGCATAGTAGGAAAACATTTGATTGTATAGCTCCACTCTCTGTTGTCCAATATTCACAGTCAACCATGATAAAATTATATCTGAGTCAAAAATCGAGTTAAATGCTACTGTATATATGGAACTGTCATCATTATCAATTTGACAGAGGGATTAATATAGGCTAGTTGAAAAGTACATTACGCTTCTTCTATTTCTGGATTATTACCATGAGTTTAAAGTTATCAACACTTATTCTGATTCACCTAAGTGAATCACTAGTGAATACACTGTTTACATTTGGTAAATATTTCAACGTTAAGCACTGTCGTTATAAAACGACTGTAGATACTATTGAGATTGCAGGTGATATATGTTATAATTAACAACAGTTTCAAAATCAATTCATTTGAACATATTGTTTCGTAATGTAGTCATTCGATATAATCCATTATGCCAAGATAGTGAGTTCTATTGTGTAGAGCTAAAACGTGGTGAAGTATCATAACCATCATCAAAAACGCAAAACTATTTATAAATAGGTGTCTACACAACATAATCAACATACGTTCAACGGATTCTATCAGCAACAAACTTCTATGGAAGAGAACAAACCAGTTTCCAGATGAAAGATAACTTAGGAGAAGACGTTCAAAGTGGATAGGCAATACATTGAGCTAATCATCAAACTACATCGCAAGACAAATGCTAAGGTGAAGTCCTAAAACGAAACGGAAAACAAGAAGAACAAGGAAAACACTACGTCGAGAAATGCAAGTAAACATGAAAAGGATGAATAGAAAATGGAAAGAACTATAATGGATTGCCCACGACAAATTTGATGTGAAATGCTGATGAGCGGCATATGCTCCTCCACGAGGTGTAACAAACGTAAGTAAAATAAAGTAAAGTAAGTATGTTGTGGAATCAATGTATAATAATGCTGAAAATAAACGGTGTTAGTTAAAATTTAAAAATAAAGGGGTAACACATAGATTTTAGAAGAAAGACTTCATCAAATACACTGTCTAACAATGTTATTAAAGTAGGGATTATTCTTTAAGGGAATTTAATTAGATAAGGAAATGTTGTGGAGATTCGTTTAATTCACAGATGATTTTCATCACGTTCATCTACGAACCCTTAACCTTCAGACTATTCACTCAATATCCAACGTATAAATAAATAAATATAAATATACTATTATTATTACCAGAAAAGATGTAAGACTGCCGAATTTTCCGAAATAGTACTACTTAAATAGTAGAGTCACATAATACTACGATAAATTCGTAAGTAAAGTAATAATACTGATAGGTCGTGGGTTTCCAGCTGAAGGAGGAATCAAGAAAAAGACTTTAGAAGTGGATAGACCATACATTGAGCTAATCATCAAACTACATCACGAGACAAACGGTAACTTAAAATCCTGAAAGGAAACGGAAAAGAGGATGGTCAAAGAACACGTTGCGTCGGGAAATTTAATCCAATATGAAAAGGATGAATAGCAACTGGAAAGGATTGCCCAGGACAAAGTTGAATGGAGAGTATCGGTGGGAGGCCTATCCTAAGTAAGTACTATTGACACATTATTTTCTCTATAGTTTATAAGACTTTGAAGAGAGACCTATTAAAAAATACACTTTACAAAAACAGAATTATGATCCAATCATTTTTCTTTCAAAAGAAAATCAAAAATCAAACGGTTAACAAAAAACAAATCATATATTCATTTATTTCGATTCAATATTTTACACCATATATTATATATATATTTTTTAACCAATCACAAATCAGTTAAACAGAACTCTTTATTTGATTGGTTAATATAAATTAAAAATTAAATATTTACAATTATCAACTTCATTTTTTTAAAATAATTATTCCTAAAATGCAAACAAAATTAAACAAAACAAATAAATAAAATGATTTGATTCAATGTATATTTTAATTATTATATTCTTTAAATATTTTGCCGTTTGATAAAATAATCAAAAAAACGAGAGAAAAAGAAAAAGAAAAAGAAGAAAGAAAAAGTATGTAGAATTGTAGAAAACATATTCATTATTATGTTTGGACATTATATATATATAAATATATGTATATATATAAGGGAAACATATGAATAAAACATATATACATATCACTTTATATTGGAGAATTATATACTTTAATGAATGAATAAATAATAATTTGGAAACTTTTTGTAAAAAGAACACCAACAACAACAAAAAAAAATAAAGAAAAGAAAAGTGAAAAGAAATGAATAATACAACTTCTGTAAATAATTTAACAATTATACGTTCATATTTTGAATTTCATGCACGTTTTGGATTGGAACGTTTATGGATAACAATTATTATATTAAGTTTATTAATATTATGCACAGTAATTGGGAATGTATTTGTTGTAGCAGCTATTTTATTGGAAAAACATTTACAAGTATGTTATGATATACATTTACGATTATAATGATTACTATTATTATTATTATTATTGATAATATTGTTTTGCAGTGTTTTACAGTGAAGTGACTCATTATATGTTATGACAACTAAGATGTAATTATACGCCTTGGAGACTATTTAGTTAACTTGTTTAGTAAACCGAAAAAATAAATCTTAAACGTATACGTAGTGAAGTGTACATGGTTGTATAGGTGAATTATTTAAAACTTGTATATACATTTTAAATATCATACAGTAATGAAGCTACCGTATTGTGATTATTGTTATGTAAATTATTCAAGTTTCATACCTTCTATTGTTTACACGATATACCTTTAATCACTATAACATTTTATATTAAACTCTTACTTTTTTTTAAAAAAAGAAGACATTTTCTACAATAATCATAGTGATCATCTAACTGAGTCGTTAGAATATATAGAAGAGAACTAATAGTAAATAAATTAACAACAACAAACCTCTTCATTGCAAACATAGGTGATGTGTTTATCATTGAAGAATTGTCAGACTTTGAGGATGTTTGATGATATAAACTATTCATTTAACATTCAATGTTGTTTTGTTTTTATTCAGTTTGTGATGTTAGTATAAGTTTGTATATCATAATAGACAATAGGGTCAATAAAGTTTTGATGAAAGAATCAAAATATTTACTAGAGTGTAACTCTCATGTAAAGATTTAGAAAATAGTAAATAAAACGAAGATTAATATCATTCTTTCCAGTTAGTTTCTAATCATGTTTCTACATAACTTAATGTTGTTTGTTTTTGTTTCCTTCAATAATAATTTAGCATCAGTAAATTGGTAGTACTGAATAATAATCTAACAATTTCATAAACACATAGAATATTATCAGAAGGGGTTTTGTGGAGATTGTAGTAATTTCAACAGTTGAGATCGTGTGTTAATTGAAGCTAGAACACCAGAAAAAAACCTGGAAGCACTGGACGTCCGTTTCGTCCTATTGTGGGACTCCTCAGCAGTGAGCATCCACGACCTCGCTCCGCGGGAATCGAACTCAGGACCTATCAGTATTATTATTTTACTTACGAATTTATCGTAGTATTATGTGACTCTACTATTTAAGTAGTACTATTTCGGAAAATTCGGCAGTCTTACATCTTTTCTGGTAATAATAATAGTATATTTATATTTATTTATTTATTTATACGTTGGATATTGAGTGAATAGTCTGAAGGTTAAGGGTTCGTAGATGAACGTGATGATTATTATCTGTGAATTAAGCTAATCTCCACAACATTTCCTTATCTAATTAAATTCCCTTAAAGAATAATCCCTACTTTAATAACATTGTTAGACAGTGTATTTGATGAAGTCTTTCTTCTAAAATCTATGTGTTACCCCTTTATTTTTAAATTTTAACTAACACCGTTTATTTTCAGCATTATTATACATTGATTCCACAACATACTTACTTTACTTTATTTTACTTACGTTTGTTACACCTCGTGGAGGAGCATATGCCGCTCATCAGCATTTCACATCAAATTTGTCGTGGGCAATCCATTATAGTTCTTTCCATTTTCTATTCATCCTTTTCATGTTTACTTGCATTTCTCGACGTAGTGTTTTCCTTGTTCTTCTTGTTTTCCGTTTCGTTTTAGGACTTCACCTTAGCATTTGTCTTGCGATGTAGTTTGATGATTAGCTCAATGTATTGCCTATCCACTTTGAACGTCTTCTCCTAAGTTATCTTTCATCTGGAAACTGGTTTGTTCTCTTCCATAGAAGTTTGTTGCTGATAGAATCCGTTGAACGTATGTTGATTATGTTGTGTAGACACCTATTTATAAATAGTTTTGCGTTTTTGATGATGATTGTGATAGTTCTTCACGTTTTAGATCCATATAATAGAACTCACTGTAATGACATTCGTATTAAAAATTCTCACTTTTATATTGGTTGATAGCTGTTTTAAGTTACATATTCACAACATAGTCCTATTTAATTTGTGTCTAGAAAGTTGACAAACAAAAATCTCTAAAAATTATTTCAGTTCTCTACTTTCCTTTACATTTTTCTCATTTTATTTTCTTGACATTTCAATTCACATCCTTATATCCTTGTACATTATCTCTTGCCACAACAACAACTTTTGAGTGACTACTATTACTCCGTTACGTAGTTAATTTAATATGTATATATTATTCATAGTGTTCAATAAGTGAATTACATTTATCTTTTACCAAACTATCTATATAGATATATTTGTTAAATATGTCTGATCTACATTACAAATTTAGTAAGTAGTAGTAGTAGTAGTAGTAGTAGTAAAGTTTATCCGATTAGAATTGTGTTATCGATTTGTATTTGGCATATAGATCGTTGTTTGTTTGAAAAAAAAATATTTTGCTTCATTTAATCAGTTCATTTCATCATAATGTCTACAATAATTAAATTATTACCTCTTTTTTTTATAAAAAAATTATTATGTAATTTTATATTATAATCAAGATTAGATACTACTGAAATGAAATTACCATGTAGTTTAGTTGTTGTATTAAGTTATTTTATCTTTCAGAATCAACTTTATATGAATATATATATATATATATATAAGTTAATTAAATGGTTGAGTAATACAATCATAATAAAAGTTACATAATATATCATGAAGATAAATTATGTTACCATTTGTGATATCAGTTGTCGTAGTAGTAGTGGTAGTATTAATAGTAGTAGAAGTAGTCTCATTAGTAGTAGTGGTAGTACGAAGAAACGATTAGTTTATCCTTGCTTAATTATATATTCAATTGTTTATCTATCTATACATACTTGTTCTTGTGAAACAAATATATTGATGTCGACCATTTCCGGTTTAAATCAAATTACATTGACAATCAATGTTAAAAAGGATTAATTTTTTTTAATAATTATTTTGAAAGTGATTTCATAAAATGAAATCAGAATTATTAGTTGATTTTGAGTTAATTATGAATAAATGCCAATAAATGGTTGTTTTACGATGAAATTAGGAACAAGAGTGAAGTTCCTAGGTTCAAGTCCTGGAATGCTCAGTGTTGAAGAGCTCTAGACTAGGACGAAACATATGTCAAATGTCTCGAGGTTTTCGATGGTGGTTTAGTTAAAACTAGTTTATGAATTAGGAATTATGAAAACTAGGAAATGTTGTTAATGTGGTAAGATCGATAATGTACCATTAGATTTGTGGAAATAAGTTACAAATAATTCCAGCTTGATATTATGAGCTTATTATTAAAAGGTTTTTAAAATATTCTGTATTAAACAAAAATAATTCTACAGGCATATTTCAAGTTAATTAAGACAGTTTTATCAGTTTTATGATTTTTAACTTAAAAGAAGAGAGGTGTCTTTTTGTTACAATCAGCCCTTATCTCAAGTTGACATGGACTTTAACTGACTTTAGGATCAAGGTCAAGCATAAAGTTTAGAGTTTGTGGAAAAATTCAACCTCGTTCATGTTAGATACAGTGTTTTCTCTAACAGATTATTTCGCTTTAGTTAGTACTCATCAAGTTGTCTCGTCTCTAATTATGGACGAAATCGCACCTCCTGTGGATACCGACTAGCGTTACTCAGTGTTACAGTAAGAGATATTTCGATTAAGCCATTCGATAATAACCATAAGCATAGTTTTATAACTAATAACTAATAAAACATTTCTCATTTAGTTTGCAAGCAGTGAGAAATCCACAGATCCAAATGTTCACCGTAGGTAAACATGCTAGTATAGGGGATTTCGTGGATAATTCTAGATCCTCTAAGTTGAAGTCACTTACCTGATAGAGGGTTACTAGTAAATAAAATGCAGAACGCGCTAATTTCAACGTAGTGTAGTATATCTACAGGAATAAACTTAAAAGTAGCCAAAACCTTATAAACTTTTGATCTACGTTTTCATTGTAGCTTGAAGCTCATCAATAATATGGATCCAGAAGTAAGTGACTAGCAATTTCAAGTCTAATAGTTCATGCCTTTCTAACTGAAATCATAGTTTTATTGATGATTTGATACTTAACCCTTCTTGTAACTGGATCTTAGTTTTATTGCTAGTGTATGAACTGTGAATAACTTTCTGTAGAATAAAATACACTTGGATGCATTTTTAAACTACGTTTTTTTTAAGGCAGAATGCTTTTTAATCATGAATGTATCGATTTCGATAAGTGGCGTATCAATGACGTTTTTTTTTTCTTGATATTGATACACTAAATCGTTTGATAACTATTAATATATCCATCAGCATAGGGTTGTGGAAATTGCTGAACTTTATTGAGATCACGAATTAGAACAACTTTGATCGGTTCGTAATCAAGACAATAGGAATAAATCCAAAACGTTTAACCCCATTATATATATAAACATCATTTTTAATAGAATAAGTATATTTATGGAACGGAAACGAATAATGCTGAAATTTCATTCATCGCTAGATATGGGCAGAAATGTATAACAGACGCATCTGTTATACGTTCAGATGGAGTTATTGGTATATTTTATAAAATGATGTCTGGATTGATGAATGACTAATAATCAAGGAGACTTTGACAAGACGTTTCTTTTTAATTTGTTATTAGTCAGCAATGAACATCAGTAATTTTACACTCAGTCATAAAATTCATGCACTGTAGTTGTTGATAGTAGTACAATATCCTTGAATGGTACAAGTTATACATGTATGATGGTCGTGATAAAAAAAACGTAATCTGATTGGGTTTGTAATCTAATTTATTAGTCTAAACATAAGGCATTTTTAAATATTTTGTAGTGCTTGGGTTTAAATATTAGAGGTTGTTTCGATGTTAACTTGTGAAATGTCTCAAAGTAGAAATAAATAGTTATATGATTTTTATGGTGGTTAACGTTCATGTGTCTATTAAAGGTAGACCACCATTGAAAATCTGGAAGAAATGGAAAACCCTTTCGTTTTAGTATGAAACTTCTTAACAGTTTGCATCCATGATCCTGTA